TTATTTAGATTTCCTAAGAATAATAACAGGTAATTACTATTGCTTTGTAATTATTATTAATTATTACATAATAGTATTAATTTGACTTTCGATCAGTAAGCCGACGCCGACGTGTCCGTCCGAGCTCTCGTTAAGTGGAGAAATAAAAAAATAAATTTTGGTCTGCCAAGGGATAGTTCAAAATAAAAACCAGAGAACTACGAACACACATTAAATTTATTGTCTCCGAAGGCTCAGGTCAAAAACTCAACAAATGTTGGCCTACTGGTGTGAAAGCGCTCGCAGACAACAACACGAATATAGTATTTTTTAGGAAATGAAAATATATAGAGGGTTTTATACACGAGAATATTTGATTTAAACGAAACAAAGTAATTCCTAAAATGCTCAAACTAAAAATTGTTGGAAACATAATTAGACCGATAATTGGGAAAATCTTAAAATTACAACAGAACAAGACTTCAAAATAAAAACATGATTGCAAATAAACAAACTTACATTAACATAACTTCAAATATTTACTGTCTTTTTCACCAAACAAACTTACATTAAATTATAAAAAAACTAAATGCTCATCTACTAGTCAAGCCGTTTCATTTGATACCCATATTGAAGTAGTTGTGAAAAAATAAGTAATCCGCTATTGTGTAGCGGCGTCCATCTTGGATATACAATGATACTGAATGTATGTAGTGTATGTATAGTCGATTCGCTAATCTCAGACACAACTATCTAGTATTTTAGTAATTATTTTATTGCGAAAGTTAGTTACATTTTAACAGTCTAGAACTGGATGACAATTACTATATTTACAACCAAGCACATATGATCATAGCCAATATTATTTATTTACACCATAATATAATTCCACAACAGACAACGGAAGATTTGACCAATAATTTAAAGGTAAATGCTCCAAATATACATTTCTACTTCAAGAAGTTAAAGGTTACGGAGTACCACAAGCAAGCTTTAAAGTTTCATATCCATTGGATTATAAAAATGAAGTTCTCAATCACAGTATCTGGCCTGAAGGTTCAATGGTTCGTCGTTTTGACTTCAAGTATAAGAATTGTACTAACCGCAGTTAACAACAAAACCAGAAATAATTGTTACAAATCCGGCTTAGGCAAACTAGATATTACAAATAATTTTAAAGGCAATACCAATCAACTAAAAATCGTATGTATTAACTCTGAATCTATTGTAAACAAAATAAATTGTATCGAAATATTAGTTTAAACTGAAGGTCTGGATTTACTATGTATATCCGGATCATGTGTAATGACAATAATATAAATTCGTTTTATTTTCCTAATGCTCTCTTGTAATGATTCGTAATACTTTTTTGATTATTTTTTAGGTTATTACATTTTTACATTTATAGAAATATACTCGTACAATAGTTACTTCTTGATTTTTTATTCGTTTTAGTCGAATATCGTTTACTCCAATATTCGAATTCTTATATCCTTAATTCGAATATTAAAGGAAAAATGTAATTTTAATAGGTTTCCAAGACATTAGCATTTCCCATCCAAGCAAAATATTACTAAGAATCATTAAACGCCGTTTGCAACAGTACTTAGACAACCAAATTCCCCAAGCAGAACAAGCAGGCTTTGTCAAAGGGAAGGGTACGAGAGAGCAAATCATTAATATGCGGCAGTTCATAGAAAAGGCCCGCGAATTTAAAATTCCCATAATAATCTGTTTTCTAGACTACCAAAAGGCATTCGATTGTGTAAAATGGGAAGTTCTCTGGACAGTTCTTCATGAGATGGGAGTTCCAGATCATTTGGCAATATTAATTAAAAACTTATACGAAGATAACTCAGTTAAAATAAGAATTGAAAACCAGCAATCTGATACCTTCAAAACCAGCAGAGGTGTACGACAAGGCTGCATACTATCTCCAGACCTGTTCAATTTATATGGAGAATACATAATGAGGAACGCACTCGATGGATGGAGAGGCGGCATCTTCATTGCAGGGAAAAAGATCTCAAACTTAAGATTCGCAGACGATACAACACTGATAGCAACATCTGAAGAGGAGATGTCGAGACTGATAAAGAGAGTAGAAACCGAAAGCAACAAGTGTGGGCTCAAGATTAGTAATCAGAAAACAAAAATCATGATTGTGGACCACGCAAATATCCTCCAAACAACAGGCGCCCTAAATCAATTCGAGAAAGTAGACGAGTTCACGTATCTAGGACCTTCCTTAAGCAATGCAGCCTCCTGCCATACGGAAATTCGCAGAAGAATAGGAATGGCCAAGAACGCGATGAGTCGACTGTCAAAAATATGGAAGGACCGCTCTTTGTCCAAAAAACTCAAAATGAGACTGGTACGGACACTCGTTTTTTCAATCTTTAGTTACGATGCCGAAACATGGACAATAAAATCAGAGGATAGGAAAAGGATTGACGCATTCGAAATGTGGTGCTGGAGACGAATGCTACGCGTCTCGTGGACGGAACACAGATCCAATCAGTCGATTCTCGAAGAGCTAAATATTCAGACCAGACTCTCCTCTCAATGTCTTGCAAATGTTTTAAAGTTTCTTGGCCACATTGCGAGAAGAGACAATGACAACTTAGAAAGACTAATTGTGTGCGGAAACGTAGAAGGACGTAGAGGCCGAGGACGCTCACCTATCGATGGTCAGATCAAGTACAGAAAGCCACTGGAGAGACATTTTCCGAGTCCATGAGAGCAGCCCAAAATCGCAAGAGATGGAGAGAATTGACAGCCCGCATTGTAGGGAATTACGATCCTCAGCAATGAGGAAACGACAAGAGAGAGAAGACATTAGCAATCGATATCAACATAAAGTTTCTTGTTTCTCAGTCTCACCCAAAGAGAATTGGAATTTTTAGAGTTTGTAAAATTTCCGTGACAGTTACAATGGCTTTGTTATTTTTCGATTATATTACGAAAGATAATTTATTAGGAAATTCCACGACGAACAAATTATATCTTGTATCAACACAAGCCAAAAAGAATCGGTGTGTTATTATATTATCAATGCCAACATCAGAATAAACAAAAAAGTATTTTCATCTATGGTTCCATCAATACGATTTTCACCATTACTTTGCGTTGTGCGATGTATTTGCAACCTTTTGTAAATCAAAAATAATTACACCATTTAGAATGTCAACAAAAGCCGGCCCTGCATGTAATTATTTTTTCAGTGCAATATTTCATATTTATTGAAAGTCAACATAAATGCTCAATTGTATTTAAGAATTTATATTGTGTGATATGCCCACTGACTATTAGTAAATAAGGTGCTTTCCTGTCATTTTCACTCGTTGGCGGCTTGTCACGCAAGATCAAAGGAGCGTCGCTTCTCTGCGTTCGTAGTTCTCTGGTTTGTGTACTGCACAAGCGCATCGAGCAAAAAGACAATAGAGGGAATGTAAAGGTAGTGGGGGCAAGCCACGGTTCGTCGACTTACTACGGTTACCTCTTCCGACTGGGGTGGGGATGCTTGAGTTACGTCACAGGAGTACACAAGAATACAAAACCCATTTATTCGCGATTGAAACTGAATGTAGAGGGCAGGTCGATTGCAGTGTCATGGCCGATATAAATGGTATAAACAAAAACAAACATAACATTCGAATATTTACCATTGCTTTTCCATGTTTAGTTTGGTTTAAGACGAGTTATTTGTATCATTTAATAATGGAAATTAACCTTAATGGTTGAAGGGGAAGCAGTTTTCAAGTGATGAATTCCTAAATTTTAACTTTAATGTTTCGAACTGGCTTGTGTATTGATGACGATGAATCCTATTTTGTGTATACCTGGGAACCCAGAATATAATATTCTGTGTAATGTTTATATGCGTATATGCGTATATATGCATTATTATACCTTATGTTTTTAATATGTTAATTTTTATTTTATACTATCTTTTGACATATGTAAGTACTTTATTGTATATTAACATAAATAAACAACTTTAACTTGGCTTTATTGTAAAATAGTTCATTTGATTACATGAAATATGAAATCAACCTACTTTATTTATAAAACATTTTTGTTTTGATACATCCATCCAATCACAGGGCTGAATGTTAAGATTCAAATTACGTCACAGGAGTACAATCCGGCTTAACGTTCATTGGTTAGGCGGAAGAGGCAACCGTAGTAAGTCTAGGAACCGTGGGGGCAAACATATTGTTAGACAGGAAGTGCGATCTTTAGAGGCCACATTAAACAATGAAAGAGAGTCTCTCTCCTTGTTTGACATCAGATTTAGTTGGGTTATGTTATTGTTTGTCCCAAATGTCACATGAAATCTTATTTATATTGAAGTTTTTTAACAATTGTGTCGCATTTTAGACTCTTATCATTAATAATTAATTAAAACGTTCTCGTCTAAGACACATTCTGAAAAATATTATATAGCTACTGTTGATAAGTGTCGGAAAATTTAAATTTCGCGCATTCGCATTTCCGGATATGTCCGCCATCAGAGGCCACTTTTTTTGTCTCCTTTTCATAAGGATTAGATTCCCTCTTCTGTCTTTTTGCTCGATGCACAAGCGTCTATTCATGATACTATGACTAACAAGATAGGTATTCCCGGAGCACAAAATCGGTCGTGTTCGCGCATGCCGTCGTTGGAGAGTAGAATTTGAATTCTTTTTAAAGTTTAATGGGATTTGTATGCATTCTGTGATGAAATTACTAGACGAAAATAAGTTAACAGGTTTATATATTATAATATCGTACACATAAGGATATTCTCAAACTATTTATTAAAGATTATTAATTAAAAAACTGACATTTCGAACGTGCAACTCTCCAATGACGTCACGATTTATGCGCAATATCTTATCTTAGTCAATATCTTATCACTGCTACTGCATCTTTAAGTTTAAGTTAAGTTATGGTTAAGTTAAATTTGGTTTATCTGCGAAAGTAGACGCCTTCAATTTGTAGATTTCCATTTGCTAGTGTAAATTAGTTTATTAGTTATGGAAGTTAAGGTTGAAGTTAAGAAGGAGGGTCCTGAATATTCTCTATCGACATCAGTAGGTCTTGAAGACTTAAAAAATGAACCAGAGGATGGTCACCCAGGTGAGATGAGAAGTAATAAAAATAAATAATAAACAATGTGATATAATCATGTACTTAATTTATGAGTGTGGGCATTTTTCAATTTTCATTAAATTTGTTTATTAGCTATGGAAGTTAAAGTTGAAAAGGAGGAAAAGTTTGCAGAAGATGACCAAAAATATATAGATAATCATCTATCCACATCAACAGATCTTCAAGACTTAAAGGATGAATCAGAGGAAAATCAACCAGGTGAGGCATTAAGTCAAATAAATAATAAACAATTTAGAAACTGTGGATTTATAATGTTTTGTCAGATTTTAGTCTGTTGCTAATTAAAATACTCAAATTAAGAAGTAATCTGTACCTACACATAAATTTGAATATTTTTTACAATCCACATTACAATATTTGGGTTTTTTTATATCACTGGAATATTGAATGTCATATATTTCATATACACCAAAAGGGGACATGTGAAGGGTATTTTTAGTAAATATTTTCATTGAATGAAATGTCAAAAATTGTGGCATTTTTTGGACTTTAGAAAAGGAATAAAAAGAAACAAAATAGTTGTACTAATATAAATATAATAAATGGCACATATCCGCACCTTCTCTTTGCATGCCTATACCATAATAATTGTCTTGTTTGTATTATTTCTTATGTTGAATGAATACTATTTGTGCAGCTTTTAATTTCTTTATTAGGTACATGTTCTGTTTTGAACACTTGGGAAGCCCTTCTGAAAACCTTTTCTTTTGTTTTTAACCCATTAATGCTAAAAAAAATTTCTTAAAATTTTAGAAGTTAACAATAACAATGACTAAAATAAGACCCCACAACATACTTTTGACCATATTTTTTTATTAGGAAAAACAAGATGCTTAAAAATAACTGTTCCCATATGAGCTTGTTAGGCACAACCTATGTTATACACAAAAAAAATTATTTTTATAAAAATTAACTATTGATTATGAAACATTTGAAAACAATCTATACAAAGTCCAATATTGCATTTGCAGCACATTGTTCATCTTCTACTATTGCAATTGTCACCCTACATCTTCACCTTTTACTTTTGGGGACTGTAATAATGTAATGATGTATTCCATCATATCTAATATCATTGCTAATTTGAAAATCACTCTCTGCTGCTTTCAGTGTTTATCCAGTAGCTTTCATTTGTACCCTGTATCTTTTTAAATATGTCTTAAATAAATAAAAGAAACACAAGAGTACTACTGAATAGCTTCCTTCTACCTGTTTATGTACCTGGTAAATACTTTGTCTAAAATCTAGTTGACTAATTTTTCGGCCACTTTTTCTGTACAAAATTCATGCATTCTGTAATGATATGAAAATGATATTCTAAAGTTAGACAAAGAGACAAACTTACCAAGATATGTTGTTATCCATTTGGTCAGTTCCACTAATATTTTTATTGTATTGCACTACTACGTACTAACAAGGGTGACAACATTATTGTCCATCCATCTAACATACACTATTCCAGTTTCACTGTCTAAAATGTATGAAAAGTCTCCTCTTCTTTGTTTTTCAACCTCCTTTTTTGCCATCCTTTGGCAAGCGGTTTTCCCTTATAGTGCCGGTTCCACTAGAACTATTAGAGTACATAATAAATTTGGATTTGTAAACAAGTTATTGAAAAAAAAAAACTTGTACGGAAAGTTTCCTTTTTCCTTTAGTTCCTCAATTATTTGCAGTAAAGGAGCCGTTGGTTTTCCAACCAAAATACTGAATCATCGATTCAATGTAGGAAAGATTTGGTTCAGGTATAAAGTGTTTAAAAAAACTTCATTTTAAGGGTCTGTAATTAGCCGAAGCTTGAACATTTTATCGCAGGTGTCTACATTATTATTATCAGCACAATGAATAAATCTGCAGATTTGCAAGAATCTATCACAGCACATGGCTTCTGATATCATAATATTTATCATATCATCTGAGTTTTTCCAATAACTTCTTTTTGATGGCAAAACATTGATTCCACTGAGGATCAGAATACCAATAAAAACTTAATTCTTCTATAGTCAGATTAGGATCAAGACAATTTTGAAATAAAGCATAGTTTACCGTTTCATGTAAAATTATCTGAAGCAAATTGTCAGAGAAAAAACATTCAAATATCTCTGAACAGCTCAACATTTGGTATTTACAGTAGTCCCCTGGTGGATTTGCACATACCCTTCAACAAAATTGGTGACTGCTGGTTTGATGGCTATATTTAGTGAATAACTGTCCTTATTTGGAACATGTACATAAGTTGATGCAGATAAAATATCAGTATTATCAAAGTTGAGTCCCAGTCTGTCTTTGTCCTGCCAACAAATTGTCTGCTAAACCACTCTCATCTTCATCTACAGAGTCTTTATCAGTTAAGATGTTAATATCAGGAGGGTCAATATATATCTCTCTGGTATTTCCTTCATCATAAGCTATATCTAGAGCTTCTTGAAGCGTAATTCCCCTAAAATAAAGCACATTATTCTTAACCCGCCGTTACACGCGTCTTCGATTGTGACATGGTTGCACGCGTATGAGCGTCGCCCTCACCTACATCAATTCGACTTATGTCGAGGAAGAATGAATTTCAACATATATAAAAATAAAATGGTTTATACTCACATATTATAGAAAGTCCCATAAATCAATTTTTTTTATTAATTTAACAAAACAAATGTGATAAAATAATATAAATCAAAAGTATAAAAATGTCAAATACATAAAGCAAAAATAATATGTTAATAGACAAAAGAGATAATCAATACACAGATGAAAAGTTTTAAAAATATTGCACACATATAAAAATAATAAATGCATCTACTCAGATTCTTCCTCTTTTATTTCCCAATAGGAATTACACAAAGTTTTTGTGTGTTCCTTACAAATTGGTATTCTAAAATTTGGGCTTCTAGCATTTCTACAGGCTTTGCTTCATCTCGAATTCCCAAATGGTCCCTTATTTGCATTCGTAACAATACAGGGAGAGTTCTTATGTTCATTCGTAACATTTGATTTGGTCTAATCAGTTCTAAAGCCAGATTTTTTAAAAATTTACGGCGTGGTAATTCAACACTAGTATTTTCATAGTAAATAATATGACAGTTTATGCCACCAATATTTAAAAGGCTGAAGAAAATTCTAAGTGGCCATCTACAACTTATTCTTGAAACTGAATATAAAGATTTTAATTTGTCGACCACATCTACACCACATTTGGTTTGGTTGTGAAATGTTAACACTTCAGGCTTTTTAGCATTACCTGTTTTATGGTCGATAATATCTTGATCATGCAAAGTCGACAAAACTAAAACATTTTTATTTTTCTTTGGTATGTAGGAGGTAAGTAAGCATTCTTTGCCAAAAGCAAACATAGGCATATTTTCGTTGCTTTCTTTCGTAGTGAGAAAAATTGTTGGTATCTCACGCTTGTTTTTTCTTAGAGTTCCCACTAATGTAGTCCGCATATTATTTAGTAGGTCTATTGCCAATGGGACTGAAGTGAAGAAATTGTCGCATGTAATATTAGGACCTGTATTAGCAATAGGTTTTATCAAATGTTTCACAAGTGCTACCGAACTATTATCTTGCTGAAATGGGCCATTTGGCTGCTCTACATACACTTTCAAGTTACTAGTGTGCCAGTTTTCTGCATCAGCCAGTGAATAAATTTTAATGTCATAAATCGCTGGCTTACTAGGAATATATTGCCTAAATGCCCAAATCCCATGAGAGGCTTTCAACATTTCATAAACTGTAGCATACCGTCCTATTTCATAATTAGCCTTACATTTCTCCACAAAGCCATAGAGAAATAACAAATAAGAGAGTGCTTGGTTGCATACATAAAACTGGCACACTCGATGCTAGCGACCTGATGAACTACTTACTCAACTAAACGGCCAGAAAATGGAACGCGGGATATTTAAAATTATTATATTTCAGTAAAGAATCTCAGTTTACAGATAATTTTACAGGAAAGACTTTAAACTGAATTTCCTCATACTCTAACCTAAAATATATGTGCAAAATTATGTGTAACGATCTAAATATATGTTCAGAATCAAAATATGTAAATTTTGTTTGTTGTTTTTAGGTTAGAGTATGCAAAAGTTCAGTTTAAAGTCTCTCCTGTAAAATTATCTGTAAAATGAGATAGAAGGATTTCTCGATGCTGAGCCATCGATATTTTCCTCATACATTTTCAGAAAAATAGGGGACATGAACACTGGAAAAAAAAACTACACATGTTTTATTTTTATTAATCCTCGCAGGGACCCCCCACTTTCCGCATGCATGTATGGAGTGCTGATAAAACAAAATAGAAAAACATATACAGAACAATTGTTTTGAAATATAAAGTTTTGAGATATAAAACACAGATCAACACAAAATGCATGCATGTCCCCGCTCTTCTTTATTTATCTTATATTTTACAAAATGCAGATATTACAAATTTGATTAGTAGGTAGCCTAAAAATATTCAAAGAAAAATATTACACAATATACAGAGAACTTTACAGGATAAAAATATTTGTTATTACAAAAGGACGCTAAACACCCATGAACATATTTACCGGGTTTGGACATATTTGAGATTGCAAAATGATAAACTAATAATATTACCTACGTACAATACGTCCAATACGGACGATTACAAATACCATAAATTATAACTAAACACAGAAGAACCTTTAGTAAAGAAAGAATTTTGTATATACAAATAAACATACAATATGATTATGTATAACCTAAAACTCTATGCTAAAAAGTCAATGTCAACAATGTAAATTTTCATAGTACAATCAAAATACTTTATTGTACCATGGTAAATTTTAGTTTCATAAACAGCAGCGCCCCGATGTGCTACTTACCTGCGCAGAAACAAATGTGAACAATTTTCCCTATCTATTGATCACTCTCTTATTGTTATTTCTCTATGCCACAAAGCAGTCAAATACTTCTCGTATCGGTGCTAGTTTGTCCGTTTTCCTACTCTCTTCTCTGTTGCTAAAATCATCAAATCGGAGTGCCCTTAGTAGAAGACGAAACCGATTTTTCTTCATTGTTATTCTGAATATTACTGGCCCATCCGCAGCCTATAAGTCATCCACACTTACATGAGCACTTTTCCCGGTCCCAGCGAAGTAAAGTAGTCCAAAAAGTGCTTTAATTTCATCTAAATTTGTCTCCGTTGCATATCTTGGACGGGATATATTTTGTCGAATTTTGGAAATATATTTGTTTGTATATATAACAATTTTTTCAACAATGGCATCTGGAAAATATAAACTCCAACCCTCTGATGGAA